TCTGCTGTTCCCTCCGCCTCTGAGACTCGTCCTGCATATCCACCCGCTGGCTCCCTCACGCCGCTCAGGTCTCCGCACTGACAATGCACCCAAAACAATCCCCCCAGGCCCAGCCCAGGGGCCCCCACGCCATCTCGCAGGAGGGGCGAGGGCATGCTGGGAAGAGGTCAGCCAGGACAGAAGGATGAAGAGCGCTGCTTCCTAAGGGGCATGTACGCCCCAGCTAAGCATTCGCCCCAACTCTCTCCCCAGAAAGCCTGGGGCTCCGTCGGCGCAGGACACTGCATCCAAACGGTGCCCCGTGAGGCACACTCGGTCCCCGCCACCTGCGGCAGTGGTTACCTGGAGTATCTCGATGATCTTCAGCTTGGTGTCCATGACCATGATGTCCTCCTTCTCCGGCTCGGCCTGCTTCACGGTGCCCTCGGGGGCGGCGGCCATGGGGGCCACGGGCAGGAAGGCCCCTCCCCGCAGCACCACCTGGGTCATCAGTTCTCCGACCCCGTGGATGGACCGCATCACATTGCTGCCTAGAGGGGCCAGGACAGACCTCGGTGTGACGGTGTCCGTACAGCGTGCTGAGGCACCAGCAAGGGGCGCGGGCTTCTCAAATTATTTAACATGTCCCTGTTCTGATACGTTCTCGGGACCCTAGGAACCTGGAAAAGTTACTGCTCCTCAGAAACCAGGGGCTTCAGGGAGCAGTGGAAACTGTGTGGGTTTTGAAATCCCCAAGGGAGCGTTTTTTGTGTATTAACTCGCCTGCCAAATTTTACTGGTCACCTACATCTAGGAGCGCGGGAGTTAACAGGGCACAGAGCTGGTGCTGCTGCCAGCAGCCGCTGGGCTGGGTGCACGGTACCACCCGAGGCTCAGTCTCTTCGTCTGTCGAATGAGGAGGAAGGTGCTCTATGTCGGGATTGCACGGGGAAGTGACTGAGCACGGCCCTAACAGAGCGGGCGGCACGTGACCGCAGTTCCCTGTTCTGGCTGCAGAGTCCCCTTAAACGATAACTCACACGTGACCCCCTAACATGAGCCTACACTGACCTAACACGGAGGGAAAAATAAACATGACCGGCAGCTTTTCCCATGCACAGAATGAAAACGGACTACCCAGACGCAAGCCTGGACCTGGCGTCATCCTACAGTTATACAATCACTGACGGCTTCGGGACACCTCGACGGCAATGACAGGACACGTGTTTTTAAGAGCTAAGCATTCAAGCTGTTAGGTAACTTTCAACTGGTTCAGGGAAGTATACGCACGGACCCGTATTTAAATATAAAGGAAATACAGCAAGGCGTTAAGAGTCCTTGACCCTAAGCCACCCGGTCGACGGGCATCCACTTTCAGCTTTTGTTTATATCCGAAGTGTTCACCGTGAAAAGTCGAGAAGAAAGGACCAGGACAGGACAGGACACGCCACGGTAAAGAGCGGTGACAGGAGAGGCCGGGGGGCACGTCCCAGGCGTGTGGCCGAGACCTCCCTCGGCTTCTCCACCTGGTCCTTACCCTTATTCTCGTCTCCCTTGGCCATCTTGGTGATGGGGAAGATTGTCGTCACGTGCACACAGTCCAATATGGCCAGGAGGATTTTGGTTAATCGTAGAAGGTCAGAGAAGTTGTAGAAACCAAAGTATATGAGATTCCTAGCTAAATTCACAACCTATTGCATATTAAAAGAGAAGAAGATAATATTAAATAAGCTGTGACCTTCAATTCCATTTTACGTTGACTAGTTTAGAAAGCGACCAATTCCGACATTAATGGTAAGAGAAGGTGTCTGTTTAGCTTACAGTTTCTGATGAACTTCATTTTGTTTCATAAGGAGCAGAAATAAGAAATGAAAACCTGCAAAGCTCCTAATCTGCTTTGATGACTAGTTAACAACAACAACAACAAAAATGACCTAATCATTTGGTCTCTGCAGCTTCCCCAAGATTATATAGGGCGAGCCAAGTTATACTGTCACAGACAACATTGCCAGTCTCAGAAATGGGACCCCTTAAAAGGAAACGTGGTCTCAAAGAGAAATGCTTTACCTCCAAGGAAATAACATGATGTCCCTCAAATGACTGATCTATGGCAGCCCCCAAGCACGGCCTGTGTCCTCCCTGTCATTTCTAACATAACGACACGCAGAGCACACGCAGCCTCCTATCATTTTACGCCATCGACTCACCTCCTGTGTTTTTCCTCAGCGCAGAACCATTAAAACCCAGTACCGGTTCTATTTTCTCCTGGGACCAAACTGAGCGGAATTTCTTTTTATTAGAAAACCAGAGCATCGTGACAAAAATCACCACACGCTAACCTACTCTCTATCGAACCCCTAAAAAACGACCAAGGAAAAGCAGAGAAAACACATCGATCATCTCCTCGGGCATCACCTCGAACGTAAGCTTATTCTTCTCCTTGTCAGAGAAAGGGAACCTCTGGCAAACCACGTCTCTCAAGTACTCCTCCACGAAGCCCATGGTCTGCGCGAACCTCTGCTTCATCTCATCTTTGGAAGCTCCGCTGCTGTCATAGCTGAAAGGGAAGGAGGGAGCAAGGGTGTCGGATTTCCGCGTCGTCCCCGGAAGGCCGTTCCCCAGCTGCCGGGGCTCATAATTCACCCCCCATACTCACCCCTGCCAGTCCCTACTTTATTTTTCCCTCCCTTCCCAGCTCACATCGCCAAGATACACATCTTAGTCGTCTGTCTTGTTTATTCTCTGTCCTTCTCCCTGAACGTACAGATAACATTCTAGTTTGTTCACTGACATTTTCCTTGAGCCTAGAGCCCAGGAGACAGAAATAACTGAATAAAACAGATAAACAGCATCTAAAAAATATAATCAAGCCACTGTTTTATACCTTTGAAAAAACAGTCTTTGCCACCCACTTTACGTTAAGCTTAAACAGACAAAAAGAAACCTTCGTCTTTCGTCTATGCCGGGACTAGACTCAATGTGACCAGCAGCGGCGAGTCTGCGGCTGCACGGAACAGGATCCGTGAGAGGGTGTAAGGGGCCCAGACGGGGACACGAAGGAGCAGAAGGCGCAGGCTCACTCGTCGATGGCGATCTCGGAGGGGATCTCGGACCAGAGGCGGGCGTACTTCACGGGGGTGACTTGCTCCTGGGGGTCTCGGTCCACGTGCATGTGAAGCATGAGCCGGCAGAAGGACGCCCTGAGGTCGTAGGGCAGGTTCTCGTCCGACATGCAGCGTAGAATGAGATCCACGTCCAGCTGGCCCGATATCTCGTTGATGGCCAGGTACTGGCGGTCCAGACACATCCTAGCAAAGAGGTTCAGCTGGTACCTGGAGAAAAGGAGGTACGTGAAGGTCGCGCTCCCACATCGCCGAGGATGAGGGAACGTGCAGCAGGTGAGTCCACGGGACCCCAGCGTTCACGTGTGGCGGGGACGTGTGGCCATCTTAATTTATATCGACTATTGTGTTATACAGCTGACTGCTTTCACTCGTCAGACTCCAGCTTTGGATTCTCTTTCACACTCACGAGGCTATTTAACAAAAATGGAAACGCAGCGCGGTGTTCAGAGCTCGCAAAGACAAACAGAATCAGAGGTCCTCGTGTCCAGCCGGGGGGCGTGCCCACCAATCCGCGGTTGCCGAATAAAGGGTAAAGCACGCACACCCTCTGATCCCACAATTCCTCTCCTGGTGAGGAATGGAAAGTGTCCCACGTCTGCACAAATGTGAACGAGGACGTCCCCCGACACGAAGAACTACAGCCGCGGCATACAATGACTATCGGAGAGCGAAGAGAATGGGGCATGATGAATAAAACGGAACGCCGGCCAACGGTCACCAACGGAAGCAGCAAACCAAGCGCCACGAACACGAAGGCGTTTCAGAAACAATTCCGAGTGAACAAGGGAGGTTTCAGAGCAGGACTCAGAGTGTGGTCCCATTTACAGAAAAGTTTAAGGACAGACACGGTCCAGATTGTGCACGAATGCGATCCGCTGTCGTAACGCACAAGCGCACGGGGCTGTGGACGGATACGCGGCACGTGCACGCGCGGAGCGAGAACAGACTTCAGGAGGGAAAAGGGCACCGCGACGGTGAAGCCCTATTCGTTTTCCTCAAAAAACGCGGTAAACGGTTTCCCATCTTTCCTTCCCCTTCCCTCCCCGGGAGGCGGCAGGGCCAGCGAGGTCACCTTCGGAGGTGGAGAGAGAGCAAACAGGTGAGCGCGCGGGCCTAGCGCCCTCCAGGCTTCCCACCGTCAGCGCGAGGAGCTGGGACCGGGGAGAAGGTGACATCCAGAACCCCGCGGTGCCGGAAAGGAAGCCCAAGCACTGACGTGAATGCGCGGATTCTGCATGTGTAGAGATGGACACAGAAGCAGACGTGTGTGTGCGGAGACAGACAGACAGACAGACAGACAGACAGGTAAACGCGGACACACGCGCCCCCATCCCAGCTCCGCCTGCTTCAGCTCGGTGAGTTTGCCTCCACGTTGCAGATAAAGAAACTGGGGCATGTGACCCCGTCTGAAACTTGGCCAAAGTCCCAGGAAGGTCAGGATTCGAACCCGCGCAGTGCGACCCTGCCTCACTCCTAACCACAGCTCCAGACGCAGACACGCCAGGCTGAGGACCACGGGCCTCGGGGGCCGAGGTGTGCATGCGTCCTTCTCCTCTGCTGGCCACGTCCAGGGATCAACCTGCTGTCTCAGCAGCGACACCTTACACTCTAAACGCCTCCAACACACACCTGTCTTTTTGCCAGACCATCGGACGGCACCTTGCAAGCTCCTCGGAGGGGCTGACAAAACAAGCAACAGATTCCCGCCCTGCCCCGGGCCCGCGGCCGCCTCACCGGTAGTAGCCGAGCACGTCCCGGTCCTCCTTCTGGCCCTCCTTGGCGTCCTGGGCCAGCTCCCGCACGCTCTTGCTGCGGACCTCCTTGTGGCCGGCCCTCCAGAAGAGCCACACCTCCTCCTCGTCCTCGCCGGCCTCCAGGGCGCTCTCTCCCGTGGCGACACCCTCGAACTCAAATCGAGACAGGACCAGCCTGGGACACACGAGGAGGGGGGACGCGTTAGTCCCGGACCCCTCGCGCATCTCTGATGCGTCGCAGCCACACGCGGACGCCGAGATCCGCCTTCGGCGTGGAGACACGGAAGGCCGCTCCGTTTCGCCCGCTGGCAGAGCCACGAAGGGGCCAAACGTTCATGTCTTCGTACACTTTGACCCCGCCGTTCCCAACCAGGGCGAGTCTGCAACACGTCCAGACGTTTTGTTTGCCTTAACCGAGGGGGAGAGGGAACGGCTGGCGCCCGGTGGGTAGAGGCCAGCCGAGGTCCCAGCACCTCACCGCACAGGACCGTCCCCACGACAAAGGATTGTTCAGCCTCACACGTCAAAACGCCAGGGCTGAGAAAGGCTGCATGAGCCCAAGCCTGGCATTAAGACACGCATGAGAAACGGAAAGACGTCACTAGGGCATAGTTTCATCTTGCTTTTCTTCTTCTACACGGTGTCCACATTACTGGCACTAGACCTCTCAGGAAAAGTGTGCCCTTCCTAAAAATGAATCACCACTATTCTCCAAAACTTCTGCGGACCCATAAACACCTTCTGAACGATGATAATTTAAAAAGCTCTTCCTGACACTGACTTATCAATAGCAACCCTGACTTATTACCTCCCTTAAAATGTAAAATCGATGACCACACTTACGGAACTTTAAACCCTTAAAATTAATCCAAGTGTGTGTAATGCTCCCAGGTGAGTTCCCGTTACTCTTAAACAGGCATGCAAAGTGACACTGGTGCAGACGAGGCCACACCCAAAGCTAGCTTACTTCCCCTAACCCAGGCCTTTGCAAAGCAGGATCAGATGCCACCCACTCGACTTCAGACCTGAGGAAACCCAGGGCCGGGTGTCATTATGAACGAGCACAGACACCCACTGACTCACACGTTTTCCACCCAAAGCCTCTCCCCACCTTATCCCAAACCCCCAGAGCCCACTCACTTGGTCTCGATGAGGATGTCGGCGTTGGTTGGGTTCAGCACGGCCTTACATATCAGCTCCTGGGTCACGGGGATCGACTTGTTCGTGGACACGCAGAGATCGGACAGGTAATCTAAAAATCTGTCGAGACAGAGAAACCACACGAAACGTGTTCTGTAGACAGAGAAGACGCCTGTCGCCCGGAGCCTGGCTCTCCCTGACGTGCCCAGGTCCAACGCAGCCTTTAACAGAAGAAGTGACGTTTTAGGTTTTGGCGCCGGTGTCTACAGCAGCCCCAGAACCCGGGTCACCACGGAGAAGGAAGGAAGCAAACGAGAAAACGCGGCAGTGGCCGTGGTCGATGAAGATCATGAGGCAAAAATGCAAGGAAGGAACAAGACTGGAAAGAGCCCAG